AGGATGACAGAAGAATCGATGCCTTTGAGCTGTGCTGTTGGAGTGGAGCACTGAACATCCCGTGGACTGCCAGCAGACGTGCGTGTGTCTTAGAGAAAATGCAGCCAGGGCGCTCCTTGGAGGCGGGGATGGTGAAGCTTCACCTTATATCCCTTGGACATGTTGCTAGGAAAGGCTGTTCCTTGGAAAGGGACGTCAACAAAAGAGAAGAAGGCCTTTAACCAGATACATTAGCACAGTGACTGCTTCAGGGGGCTTGTGTGTGTCAGATGATGACACGAGAGGGCAGGGTGCAGCTCTGTTGTTCAGTCACTATGAGTTGTAACTTAGCACATAGGATGGTTGTAAGGGATCGGTGAGGTAGTTAAGGCCTGTGAGCAGCACAACACACACACACACACACACACACACACACAAGTCTAGCATATGACTGGTTAGGCGCCATTGAGGGATTCCAACTCAGTGGCGGGCGGTCTGTACCACGGACCAGAACCCTGCCCGGCCCTGCTGCATCTTGAGTCAGCTGTGCCGGAGGCCGTTGCTGGGTCCACTGTGTCAGCCCATCTCATTGAGAGTTTTCCTTTTTTTGCTGACCATCTCCCAAGCATGATGCTGCTCCCATCCAGTGACTGGCCACTTCTGATGACATGCTCAAAGTAGATGAGATGAACTCTCACCATCGTCGGCTCTGAGGAGTGTTCAGGCCTCACTTCGTCCAAGCCAGGTCTGTTCTTCCTGTTGTAGATTCTGTATTCTTTGCCAGCACTTCGCTTCAAAGGTACTGATTCTTCTGAAGACAGGCAATGGTGCATATGGCTGGTGCCAAAGGGTTAGATGCGTGTTACTTGCCGTCTAGTCAGGGCCAACTCAGCTGACCCTCCAGCATGTTTTCAGAGGCAGTAAATTGCACGAGAGGAGAGAGTCCCCATCTTTCTCCTCCAAAGTAACTGGTGGATTCAAGCCACATGCCTTTAGTTTGGCAGCACAGCTCCTTACCACTAGGCCACCTGAGCTCCCGAAAGGGTTAGCTAGTTACAAATATTACTAGGAATTGCCTGGTCCCTCAGGGAAATAAAAGTATGTTGTTGTAGTTGTTATGTGCCATCAAGTCACTTGCGACTCATAGTGACCCTATGTACAAGAGCTCTATACGCTCTTCTATCCTGTGCCAACCTAGCCATCTCAAACGCACTTATTCCCACTTCTCTAGTCACAGAATCGATCCATCTCATCAAAGGTCTTCCTCCTTCACCGCCCCTCCACTCTGCCAAATATGATGTCCCTCTCCAAGGACCAGTCCCTCCTTGCAACATGCCCAAAATATGTCAGACAAAGCTTCAGAATCCTTGACTCTAGGGAACATTCTGGCTTCACCCTCTCCAGGACAAACCTGTTTGTTCTCCTAGCAGTTCATGGTATATTCAACACTCTTCTCCAGCACCACAGCTCAAAGGCATCAATTCTCTATCAACCCTAGTCACTGTCCAACTCTCTGATGCATAGCACGTAATTGCAAAGATCAAGCGCACCATATATACAAATAAATACCACATAAGGTAAGCAGTTCTAATGACACCTCTTGCAGGCAGCCTTCAAGGATAAACTCTCAGTTCCTGGGCAGAAAGTGAGAGGCTCTTCCTGGTACCCTGCACTCAGCCCATCTCTCCACACTATTCCCTACCTTGTGTCTGGGAACCATTTATTGTGATTATGTACCTGCACATCCCAACAGTCCCTCCAAGAGGAAAACATGTATTAGTTTCTGAGATAAATCCCGATACTAGAAGTGCGTTTCTGTGGAAAAACTGGAATTGTGGGACGGAGAGGCCTGGCTCCCACTGGGGTCATCAGGGAAAGCTTCAGGGAGGAGGTGACGTCTGAATAGGGCATGGAAGCCTGTGCAGAATTTGGAACACCAGCAGCAGGCATTTCAGGGTGGCCAGCTGGGAGCAAGGGCAGCCTGGAGGGACAGGCTGAGACTTCTGTGAGCTGACTAAAGCACAGAGAGACTGGGGGGGCTGGGTTCAGAGCCTGCCCCCATCACTGCCTCTGACTTCCTGCCTCAGAACACTCAGAGAGCCTTACTGTTTCTCAAGGATTGTGGCAGATTGGACATTTCAGTGACTGCTTTGAGCTGCCTCCCCTCCTGAGTTATCAAAGATTAAGTATCTTCCAGCTCAGAATAACAATGATACAGTTGCGGTCAAGTTGACTCCCCAAGTGCACAGAGTTGCTTTCCATACGGGTTTCAAGGGTATGACTTCTCAGAAGCTGAGCATCAGGACTTGTTTCAAGATAACATTGGGTGGTTTCGAACCACCAGCCTTTACGTTAGCAATCAAGAATGTAGCTGGTTGAGCCACCCAGGAACGCCTTAGCTCGGAGAGCACCTCCTCGGTTATAGCCGCTCTTGGTCTTCTGTGTTCCAGAGGGATTATTGGGTGGTAGTTCTGTGTTGGGGGGACAGATGCAGGCAGGCCCACTGTCCTAAGTCTCAGGCAGATTTTCTGGAATGTGTACGTGGGGGGCAACAAGGACAGCCGCCCATCCTCAGGCATAGCTGGGATTCCAGGGGACCCAGGCCTCATGCGGGCAGCTAGCTGGCGCCCAGAGCCCTGTCCTGGCATGCTGAGGGCGTGCCCCTGGCTCAGCTGGGCTGAGGATGGAGCAGAGAGGTGAAGCAGCTGCCCTTCCCACCTCCAGAACCTCCCCAGGCCCTGCTCTAAGGCCCACAATGCTCCTATTGTCCACAGTTGTGCCAGGCTGCCCTCTTGGGGGGGGGGTGGCTTCAAGCCAAGGACCTCAGCTTGATTCCTGGGGTGCAGCCGGGGTGGAAAAGCACAGTGGTTAGATTCTCAGAACACATTGTCAGCCCTCCTCCAACATGGCCATGAAATGGGTAACGTCCTGGAATCCAGCAGTCAGAAGTTTAGAAAACAGTGATCCTGGAGTTCAAAACACCCAGCATGGTGACTCTGGACTGTGTGCTGTTGGTGGTTTGAAGTGTGTGTGTGTGTGTGGGGGGGTGTAGCTCTGTTCACTGGGCCCCACTCTTCCATTTTATTCCATTTAATTGTATAAAAGGTAAGTTCTGGACCACTCACACCAAGATTGGAGTCAGCCCAGGAAAGCTGTGGAAGAAAGGCCTGGCAATCTATGTTGTAGTGGTCACAGCTGCCTTAAGGGGTCGCTGCGAGTGGGAATGGACTTGACGGCCACTGTTTTTGTTCTTCATCCTATAAGTGCTACTTGGTGACTCTCTGGAGTGAAAGAAGCGAGTCACAAAAGGCCACGTTTGTACCGTTTGTATGAAATGTCCAGAACAGGCAACATCTACAGAGACAGGGCAAATTGGTGGTTACCAGGGACTGGGAGTGGGGGCAGGGATGACAGATGACTGCTAATGGGGATGAGGTTTCTTTTTGGGGTAGTGATAAGATCCTAAAATTAGATAGTGGTGATGATTGCTCAACTCTGTGAATACACTCAAAACCACTAAATGGGACGTTTTCAACGAATAAATACTGTGGGATTCCAAGAAACCTCAATCCTCAATAAAGCTTCCATTAAAAAAAAAACAAACCGGGGAGCTCTGGTGGCCTAGTGGCAAGGAGCTGCAACTACAATCCCAGAGGCAAACGGCCTAGTGGCAAGGAGCTGCAACTACAATCCCAGAGGCGAACGGTTCGAATCCACCAGATGCTCTGCCAGGGAAGGAGGGACAATCTCCTCCTGTACCAGTCAGATCTGATTTGACGGTACACGCACACAAAAAAAATAAAATAAAAAAAAACCAAAACACCAAAACCCACCTCTCAAGTTGTTAAAAAGTTAAACAATAACTGGCTGTGAAAAGCAAGTCTACTGTGCCCTCTGGACTCAGGCATTCGGGTGGGCATCCTTTCTGACATTTAAAATGCATTATGTAAGTACAAGCACACCCAGTATGAATACTCCATTTTTGTCGGACAAGAGGTCATCTCCTTATGTCTGTTCTGCAACGGCTGTTTTCACAACTTTTGAGGATTTACTTGTACAACACTGGTTTTAAACAGCAGTACACCTTTCTGTTCTCTGGCTGGGTTGTAATTGGCTTCTCCAGACTCCTTCAAATGAACATCTAGAATCTTCCCAGAGCCTTCCACGAGTGAACAGTCAACATCTTTGCACACATTGGGGCATCTGGGCAGGACTTCAGAGTGTAGATTGCTAGAAGCTTGCTGCATCAGACAATGGGGACACATTCAAACTCACGGATGTTGACAAGGTATCTTGGGGGGATAGGGATCCGTCCTTGTCCAAGCTCTTCCAGCAGGCTGGTGGCAAAGAGAGTGGGTGCTGGGTGAACAGAGCTATCCAAGCATCTCTTCATCCAACTAGGAACACACACACACACGGCCTCTAACCAGGTGCAGAGCTGGGCAGACAGAGACAAAGGCCAGATGCCCTGAAATGTGGCATCACCAATATGATGGCATTTTTCCTAGGCTGATTCCAGGTCCCCCACTGAGTCCTCTCCGTTTATCTTTCCAAAGCTTGCCCTGAGACCTGGGTGTTGGATTCAGTGGCGCTCACACTGTTGTTAATTTGCCGTTCAATCTGCGCCTCCTCATGGCAGCCTCGGGTGCAGGAGAGCAGAGCATTGGCATTGCCGTGACCTGCACCGTCACCACGGTCACTCGTTTATTTGAGCCCATCCTTGTGGTTCTGGTGTCGGTCCTTCTAGTAGAAGGTCACCCTCAGTGTCCATTCCCTACTTCTAAATACGATGTCCTTTTCTGCTAACTGGAACATAAGTGTGTTGTTGTTGGGTGCCATCAAGTCAAATGCAACTCAGAGACTCTGAACAAAGAACAGAACCCTGTCCCATCCTGTGCCAACCTCACAATCTCTGACACACTTTGCCATGGTCACTGTGTCAACCCACCTGGTTGAGGGGCTTCCTCTCCTTCGCCGTTCAAGCATGATTCCCTTTCCAAAGACTAACCTCTCTTGGCAACATGGCCAACGTATGTGACACGAAGCTTTATCATCTTTGTCTCCAAGGAGCACTCTGGCTGGACCTTCTGTTTGTTCCTTTGGCAGTCCATGGGATAGTCAGCCCTCTTGCCCAATGCCACAGCTCAAAGGGATCAATTCTCCTGTCATTATTCACTGTCCAGCTTTCAAGATGCATAGAAAGTGAATGAAAAGAACATGGCCTAAATCAGGCACACCTTAGTCCTCAAACTGACATCATTGCTCTTCCTAAGTGTCCTTCCTGGTCATTTGTTCACGTATTTATACACCACAATAGATTTTTTCCCCCCACTCTCCCATCGTTGCATCTTCTTCAAGACCCTCCTGCAAAGAGTGTTTAGGGAGAGTGTGAGCGGAAGACACCACAGCCTGACCCCAGAATACTCAGGGGTCTTCTCCGGACTCCTGTGCTTCCTTGCTTCATGCTCTGTTCAATGAGGATTACCTAGGGACCTCCCTCCTGTGTCCGACCAGCCAGCACTTCTCTGCTGGGACCTGTCTCCCTCATCAGACCAGCCAGCACGTCAGACCAGCCAGCACTTTACTGCTAGGCTCTGCCCAGTCAGCAGCTGTGAGGTGTGTTAATTATTATGGGGCCAAATGATCTTGTTAAAACGCAGGAGTGCGTGATTGCTTTATCTTGCTGTAAATCAGAAAGGACTCCACCTGAACAGCCTCTCAGCCTTCCTTTGGGGGTCCAGGTGGAGAGAAGTGCAGAAGGCAGTGCCCACGATGGAAACGCAGCTCAGCTAGCAGTCCCAGGTATCACCAGAGGCTGTGGAACCTCCCCTGTCACTTATGTTGAAGGAGGTGAGACGTGGAGAGCCCACACCGTGGACCAGGAGCCACCTGAGGCCAGGAGCTGCCTCTCCTCATATCTGCACCTGACGCCATGCAGAGGCTCAATACAGGAGTCATTTCTCCATCTCACAGACCTGTGCCTCATGCCTCTTCTCTTTCTCAATGGCCCCATTGGCCAACTCGTTGTTGAAGCGCAAAGCCTTGGAGCATCTTGACCCTGATTCATTCCTGCCATCCGGGCCTGCTGGTTCTCCACCCACAACAGGTGTCCGGCTCTTCACTGCCCTGCGCGCTGCCCCACCCAGGGCCAGGCCCGTATTCTCTCTCTTTGAGGAATGACTTCAGCAGTGAGTGACATGTAGGACGCCCTCCGTCCCATACAAGACTGGGTCCAGGCATCCGTTCTTGTTGCTCCACAGTCCATTTGCCCAAAAGAACATTTAGTAAAGGATTGTACCACTCCTATAAGGCCCCAGATAACTTCCTGCTGAATAGACAATGAACTATGAATCTACAATGGTTTCTAAGTCCTGCTCAGTCTTCTCCTTGGCCCCTCGGGGACCACAGCTACCCCTGTTTTGTGTACCTTGTTTTACTTGAAAATAGTAAACTTCACAAAGAAAGAATTTTTCTTTTCAAAGAGAAGACTGAACTGGGGGAGGAGGGGTGGACAGGGGGAAAAGTGTAACAATAAATGGAAATCCAAAGTCTCTGTAAATTTTCATTAAAATTAATAATAAAAAAATCATAAACTCCAAGATCTTCGATTTGGCTCTGCCTTGTTATTCAGCTCCAATGTGGCCTTGGGCTGGCCTGACTGGCCCCAGCATTCTCTATCACAGTGTTTTGTTTTCGTCTTAGCCCCTCTCACCATCTGAAACTACCTTGTTGGTTGGCTTGCTCACTCATTACCTCACTCAATGCTTGTTCCCGGGGAGGGAGAGCAGGCCCTTGTCTGGTTCACCCCTCTGTCCCTGGGAGCCCCAGCCTGCAGGTGCTCGGTCAATATTAGTAGAATTCTTGCCAAGATGTAAATATACCAAGATGTGGAAGGATACATTTCAAGTAAACAAGCTCTCTAAAAAAAGGGCCCCAGTGTAGGGAAACAGTCAAGCAGGACATTTAGATTTATGTTATTAAAAAAAAAATTTGACTTCACTGAAGAAGGCATTCAGATGGCTAACACACACATGAAGAAATGTTCAAAATCCCTAGCTCTAAGAGAGATGCAAATCAAAACAACTCTGAGATACCATCTTACGCCAGTCAGAATACGAAAATTTAACAGAACAGCAAGGAACAAATGCTGGCGAGGTTGTGGAGAAACTGGAACCCTTATTCACTGTTGGTTGAAGTGTAAAATGGTGCAACCACTGTGTAAGGTGGTGTGGCGCTTTCTCAAAAAGTTACAAATAGAAATACCATTTGACCCAGCAATTCCACTACTGGGACTATACCCCAAGAGACCATAACCGACATCCAAGCAGATATATGCACACCCATGTTCATCGCAGCTTTGTTTACAATAGCAAGGAGTTGGAAACAACTTAAGTGCCCATCAACAAATAAATGGATAGAGAAGCTGTGGTATATTCGCACAATGAAATACTACGCTGCATTGAAAAACAAGGAACTCCTCTTATGACTCTTAGCGGTGGATCACTCGGCTCGTGCGTCGATGAAGAACGCAGCTAGCTGCGAGAATTAATGTGAATTGCAGGACACATTGATCATCGACACTTTGAACACACTTGCGGCCCCGGGTTCTTCCCGGGGCTACGCCTGTCTGAGCAAAAAAAAAAAAAAAAAGAAAAACAAGGAACTCATGCAATATTATTCAAAATGGGTGACGCTGGAGGACATTACGCTGAGTGAACTATCTCAGTCACAAAAGGACAAATACTGCATGCTGCCACTGTTGTAAAACAAGACTGACATCAGGGCTGGGGAGAGACTGAGAAAGATGGTTTCAATAATGTATACTGCATTGAAACAGATGAGGAAGAAAACTGTTTAAAAGGGATATGTGATTAGGTATTATTGTCGTGACAGGAGTCCAGAACAAAGGCTGCATAGCAGAGTGGACCTGCGGGGAGGGATTGTAAAACAATGAAAGAATTTTTCTTTTACTTTTCCAAGAGGGGAGTGTACTGGGGCGGGGGTTGGGAAAGGAGAAAAATGCAACAATGAATGAATGGAAATAAAAAAAATTTTTCTAAAAACAAATTTTGATAAGGAGAGTATATTCATTACTTAATTGACGGTTTAAGGTAGAACCATAAAAGCACTGATTTCAGGATCCAAATAGCTGCCTCCTAATCCTGAAATTATTGGTCATTTTGGTTGAGAGCCTGACCCATCTGTTTGTCTGTGGCTTCTGAGCTTGCTCGTCAACAAGGACCCACCTTCCACCTGGATTGATAGTCTGCACAACATTCTTCTGTCCATTATCTCACTTGACTCCTCGTGACCCTGAGGTCGAGATGAGAATCTCCACTTTACAGAGGAGTTCCGGGGGGTGAGTGCCTGCCTGTGGTCACGCAAGTCTGCCTCACAGGGCGCTGACTGAGAGCTGACTCAGGCCATGATGCTGTGAAGCCCCTGTGGGCTAATGGAGGCCGGGAGATCTGTTTAAAAGAATCTATCTTTATGGCTACAGGATCAAGGTCAGATCTGAAGCTGCAGGATCAAGGTCAGATCTGAAGCTGTCTTCAGGGACCTGAAGGGAATCCTTCGGTCAGTGGGACAGGGTATAAGCCCACCTAGTTTTTGTTTTTTTTTTTGAAAGCTAAAACAACTTTATTAAGGGGTCTCCTGGGCAGGATTCCTTGGTCACAACAGCCCTAAACTCCGCTCTGTCCTGTGCCAATCGCACTGTCTCTTACACTCCCATCCCAATTATCCCAGTCACTGAATCAATCC